GGAAGAGTTGTCAGTTTCACAAACTTCGACGGCGACTGACCCGAGAGCTCCGTCGCATAAAAATGCATGGTGGACGGAGAATGCGAAGCAGATGGAATGCTACGCCGAACGCCGCCAACACAAGGAATTCTTGCATTTCTTGAAGGCGGTGTATGGACCGAGATTGGAGCCGCTGAGGACCCTGATCAATGGTAGTTCAGGCACTACCTGCACACAGACTACAGACATAATGCAAATCTGGCGGAAACACTTTGACAGTCTCTTGAACAACCGTTCAGAGATCGACTGGCCTACATTGAACGGCCTGAAGCAGCACGACGTGAAGACGAGTCTGGCGGACACACCGACACTAGATGAGACACAGGGAGCACTTGCTCAGCTGCGAAACGGCAAATGTGCTGGGGCGGACGGGATCCCGCCTGAAGTATTGAAACACGGCGGATCTGCGTTGTTGACTGCGCTGCACCACTTAGTGCAACGCGTGTGGATTGAGGAGGAAGTGCCTCCTGAGCTGAAGGATGGCCTCGTGCCGTAACGGTACAAGGGCAAGTATAGCAAGCAATGTTGCACGAATTATCGTGGCATCAATTTGCTGAGTTGTGTAAGCAAGGTGATTGCCCGAATCCTGCTCAACCGCCTCGTCAGTCAAGTTGTGGAACCTAACGTGGCGGAAGAGCAATGTGGATTCCGTTCGAGTCGCAGCACTATAGATATGGTGTTTGCGGCTTGTCGGTTGTAGGAGAAGTGTGGAGAACGACACCAGCCATTGTACTCGTTTTTTGTTGATTTCATCAAGGCATTTGATACGGTGAACCGCGAGGTATTGTGGCTGGTGTTGCGTAAGTTTGGTTGTCCACATAAGTCTGTAAGTTTAATTGAATGCCTGCACGGTGGTATGCGAGCGAGATTGCAGATGAGTAGAGAGACATCGGATGACTTTGTCTCTGGTGTGAAGCGTGGCTGTGTCTTAGCTCCTGACCTGTTCAATATATATCTTCATGTAATGATGTCTTATCTGTTTGATGCGGCTTGTGCTTACGATGTTCGTGTGGAGCATCGTATTGATGGTGGGTTGCGGAACATCCATCGTTTCGGTGCGAGAACTCTAGTCTGTGAGACAACTATCCGCATGTTGCTGACAACTGTGCATTGTTTTCACACAGCGCGGATAAGTTGCAGCATACGACTAGTGCTCTGGCTTCCACAGCGGCCAAATTCGGACTCACCATCAACACAAGCAAAACTGTCTGTCTCTTTCAGCCTTCACCGGAGGTACAACCTTTAATATTGCCGCGAATCAGCATTGGAGCTAAATATTGGAAACCGCCTCTCGCTTCTGCTGCCTTGGTAGTGTGATGTCGACTGATCAGCAGCTACACAGTGAGCTGCGTATTCGCGTGTCGAAAGTAGCGGCGGCATTCGGGAAGCTTGAGTACCCAGTGTGGAACAACCATTAGCTTATCATTGGCACGAAGCTGATGGTGTACAAATCCATGGTGCTGTCCGTTCTTCTATACGGCAGTGAAACGTGGACGATGTACCGGTGGGATGTGCGATATCTCGAGCGGTTCCATCAGCAGTGTTTGCGACGGATTTTGCGCATCGGTTGGGGCGACAGAGTTGCAGACACGGAAGTGTTGCGACAAAGTGGGATGCATGCAGTGGACTGCATACTTTTCCTAAGACACCTGAAGTGGCTCGGTCATGTGAGCCGTATGGATTCGACGCGGATACCGAAACAACTCTTATGTGGTCAGCTAAGTATTGGGAAGCGGCACGTAGGGAAACCAAAGTTACGTTACCAGGACATGATTAAAGTGAGCCTCTCTCGTTCTAATCTTGATTGCAGGTCATGGGAATCGAAGGCGGTTGATCAGCTTGCATGGCTCGAGCTGATCGATATGACCGTTGCCCAAGTGCAAGAGAAAGCCCTCCTGCATGCAGAGAAGAAGCGGCAAGCAACGATGGGCCGTACTCCATCGACATCGAGCGCATGGTGCTGTAGCACATGCGGTCGCGGGTGCCTGAGTCAGGCAGGCCTAGTGAGCCATGAGCGAAGCGATGAGCGGGACCACTACAGAAGCGACGACGGGTCCTGCACAGAACGCAGGCAGAACTGGCGCAGCGTTTGTCTGTACGCTGCATCCGATTTACTAACCACGTGCTTGCATGTTAAGTTTCTTTATTTCAGGAGGTGGGTTCTCAATTTTGTCATAATGCTTTTCTTCCTCATAAATGTCTACGTGTTCTCTCTTCTATAAACTTGCACACGTCGCTTAAGCCAATTGTAGTTAATTTCGATAACATTTTCGTGTTTGTGGCATTTTCGTAAAATACACTTTCTGACCTCATGAACTTATCTCGGATACTTTGTTAACAACTTATTTCATATGCTCATTAATTTAAGACTTTCGTCACGTTTCCTTATGCATTACTCGATTTATTCTCTTTGTTATCTTTCTCTCAGGTGATTGTCTGTTGCTTGATATCCCCGGTGTGGCTGCGCTTGATGTGCACGTTGACATGGTGCCTACCTGTCTATTACCCACTACCTTGTCCATACTGGCTCTAGGTGACAGTTGATCGTTTTTGGAGGGTACGGGGTGCACGGTTCTTGTTGCCTTGTTAGGATCCAAGAGGGGTTCCATGAACTCAGTATGTAGAAGACTACGGTCCAGCCACCGCCTTGTGTGTGATTGATTCCCAAATACAGCGTGCTTGTGTTTGCCTGTGAAGGAAGGTGGGCCGGCTCCATTGATGAAACGTGGCTCCCATCCACATGTCTCCCGGTCTTATTCCTTCGGGTTTACAGTGGATATGGGGTGTGTGGTTGGAGCTGTGGGTGGTGCAGCGCAAGCCACCCATGTTCCTTCTGTAGGCGCAGACATCCTGTGGCTGTCCACTGGGACCGGCAAATCCGAAACCGGGTTCAGCCGGCCGTATGTGTTTGCAACGGTGTACGAACGGAAATAAGGCCATCAGAAACCATTGGATTGAAACGAAGGTACAGAAATAGTAAGAGGAAACACAATACAATGTCCATGGTTTCGTCAAAGGGCGTGATACTACCCAGTTGCCCAGGCCGAAGTAAGGTGTTAACTTAGGGGCACACCTCGAGCCTTTGGCTGAATAGCCTGCTCGCAATCAGCGGAGCGGATTCAGTACATCGCGCCTATTGGGAGCCGGTGACTGATTGCTCGGTTCCTATGCCTTTCCTTTGTTGCTTTGTCAAAGCGGGGCCCGATGCTCCACAGAATTACAGCATAACGTTGCTGGAATACAATGCTTCGCCAGCGTGAAGCAAGGGGCAGTGACTTTATTTAGTGGCAAGTCACTTCCGCCACGTTACGGTGTTGTTAAACGGACATATGTGGCTTCTTATGGGGAGAACTCTTGTCAGCCGAAAACCCACCACATCTTGGAACACTGCCGCTGAACCATTTGCTGGAACAGGAAAATCGCGATCCACTCATCTGGCAGCACGAGGAGGTTGTTCGGCATGCCGAAGTCCTCGTGAGTCATTCATACTAATTGATAAGTGTAATGCCACTTTGTTTCAGTTTGTCGAAACTTCAGCTATTCGGTGCATGGAGCACAATTCGTGCAAACAAACTGAATTTACCTCCTACATTACTTATGAGTGGAGGGATTTTGGTGATTATTTTTGTTCGTCGCAATCAGCCGACAATTCAGATAATTCGACCAGCTATCCGGAAAAGCACCAGACGGCCGTTTCGCCCTATTGGGGCTCATCGGTGGTGCGCATCCTTCGGTCCTCTGCGGAGGATCGAACCAATGACTACTAGTGGCTCTTGCCAACTAGCCCGCAGCTTATGCAACTGCGCCATGGAGGACGGTATCCGACCATCACGAATTGTTAGCTAAATGCGATATAGCGCGACCCATCCTCCACTGCCATGCAGGCACCTGCCATGCGGATGACAGCGGTTGGCCTTCCGGCGTCAGGACTTCCCGGTTACGGCAGCTATGAATCGACATAGCATATATATATATATATATATATATATATATATATATCGCATTTAGCTACCTCCTACATTTCCTTATCTTAGGCTATTGATCGTTTTTTTCTCTTTGAACTGTGTTATACCTGGTCCTTGGTCACACGATGCTTATTACAGGTTGACGCGACTCTCCTAGTGGGATGAACGGATGTGAGACAGAATGGTATCGCGAACGGAAAGTAGCTGACAGAATTCGATTTGGCACAATCCGGGAGACTTGGGCACAACACGGTTCTACGCGCGCAGCCGAGCACAGACTTCACACGCGACTCCGATCTAGAGAGATAAGAACAAAGGGCAGACTCTTCGCGTCAGGCACTTTACTCATCAGACCAAGCAATTGCAACGCAACCCAGCCTTACATAAATACAACGTTTGGTGAAAGTGCAATTTTAACTCAGAATGGTAAGCAAGGCTTAATTAAGCAACTTGGCCCCTTGGCAATGTCGATAATTGCAAGTGAGCGAATTGGCAAAAGGTCACATGTCAGTAACGGAGCATGGTCTGATTTAGCTTGGCCGGAGATGCTTTTTCGTGTATGGCTGATCGAAACCTGGTTCCGCCTGAGGTCTTTTAAGGACCTTCGTTCCCTTTAAGAAACTGAATGACGTTGCACATTGCTTTTGTGCGTAACGCAGCGAGAATACTCGAGATACCTGTATTCAGCGTATCCTGTCAAAATATTTTTCTTCTTGCCATTTTGAACTCATCACGGTATCGTATACTGGGCAGCCAGGAAGTAAACGAGTTTGGTACAACGCAGAAATGATGTTTCGTTATCGCTTGGATAGTGAGTTTTGTCTCCCTTTCGGCCGCGAGTTGATTAAGTCTCTTAGTTAACAGAAATTGGAGGCATGTACTCAGAGTTGCTGTTTCTTTTCCAGCATCTAATCTACAATTTTCACTATTGCGCATTTACGGTTGCCTGATATTCTGTCTTCTGTCTATTTTATGCATAAGGGATTATGGTCTTTTATGACTCGGCTAACTGAAAACTGCGGGAATTCAGTTCTGCCCAATGACCAGCTGCTTGTGATCTCTTGGCGTTCTTACCACCCAGGTTTCTTGACCTTGGACTTCGGTTTCGGGTGTTGAGTTGCTTTATACAGTCCTCTTCATCTCACTCCTGTGTTGGGTTCATTATATTTGTATTGCCTTGACGCGTCAGTATCACCCGCGTACTGTCTGCTTCCGCTAAGTATTTCCCGTATCCGACTCCCATTCTACCCTTGCGATATAGGAGATATGTGCACATTTCGCGGTTAGGTAGCTGAAACGGGTTGTCCGCCTGTTTAACTTATTGAGGATGCAAAATCATGTTCACTGCTTCACCTATGTCCTGTAGCAACTGAGGCACACCGGTTGAGTTTTACCGTCTGTTTAACACTTGGTCCACGCACCCTGCTCACTCACTGTGCGCAATATAACCCCCTACTTGTCCCGCTTGAGACCACATTGCGCTTTATCCATGCTAGGCTGCACCCATTTTGCGTGTTCCCTCCAATCCTCGCAGTTCTGGTCAGCTCTGTTTGGTGGCGCTTAAATGGGTTCCTGTCCGCCGACCCCATTTCCGGTTGTTCAATTGGTCAGCCGCCACCACACCTTAAATCGTCAGCTTGAGTTCGTATGCGCGCGCGCTGTCCTGCTGTGATCCTGAGAGAGGATGGCGCAATCCACTCACTTACCCGTGCGACTGCTATCATCCAGCTTGGGTGCCGCTCTTGGTATAACATTTCTAACATAGAGCAGTCGGACTCATTTGGGCACATCGTTCGTGGTGCCATTTGATTCCACGCCCCGCCTTATGCCATCGACTCAGCTTGCCGTGACGATACGGTATAGGTTCAACGCTCCAGCGCCATCCATTTTCAGGGCTAGTTGAATTGTGCATTACATGCCCGTCGTCCGCGGTGATCCATTATTCGCTGAGTTCGTCGCGCCTATACTACTCATTAGTAGTGCACCATAGCTTCATTATTGTATCCGCTGATCCCGCGTGGGTTTCATTCACCTGAGACACCAGCCGTCACGACAATTTTGATATCAGCTATTCTAGCTCGTAGTTCGTTTTTTCTTTACATATTTTTTATTGTTCCTGCCTTGAACTCTGTGCATCCTTAAGAACAATTGTGGCTGTATGTGGGCTTCCCTCAGTTTTCGTTTGGCCACCGTTGACTCTGAGCCTACTCTGTGCTTCTTCGATGCACCTTGATTAACTGACGGCTAAACTTGTCAGCTGGTGTATTTGCGCCCGATTCCTTTCTTGAGGGTTTCGACTTCTACAATTTCGAACTTTTGGTTCGCCTATCCTACACACCTTCAGCACTTTGACATTTGACTGCGCTCCAAGGGATGCTGTAGCCACTTCGCAGGCGTTATTGTCACTCGTTAAGAGGTATAAGATCTATAATGGTTGCTTGTGTTATTGTTGCTGCTTCCTCTAACCCTTACTTTCTTGCTCCTCTCTGGCACAGTTTGTCCTGCTCTCTTCCGTGCTTCCTTCGCTGTAGCGAAGGCACGCCCTCCTTAAGTCGGCCACTTACTAGACGGTATTTATTTTTTGTTGCAGCTCCACTGGTTCATTACGACCCCCTGCATTAGTTGGAACTCCGGACCGGAAGGATATTACAGTTGCAGTTACAGATTTCCTTACCGGAACTTCAAGTACACCTTCCATAGCGAGTAGGTCATTAATGGTCTCTAGTAGTGTATTCCTGTAGTCGACTGACTGTTCGATTGGATAGGCTCTCTTCTGCACCCCGTATCGTGACATTTATCAGCAGCACTTATCCCATTGACCGTCTTCATTCGTTGCAGCAACCTCAGTCATTGAATCACCTGCGGACGCCGAATCTTCTGTCTCTCCACCCCGAACCATTGCGCTTGATATCACCCGCGTTATAGAGAAACAGATAGATTCGGTCATCGACGATTTCCACCGGCTCAAACTCGTTCGTGAGATAGGAAAAAACTGGGATCTATTCTACAAACGAAATGGAGCACGTTTTTTTAAAGTGTGTTTCTTTCTTCAATTATCCCTACTGGGCTTTGTCGCAACTCTGTACCCCATGTTTTCCAGCATAGGCATGCGGACACCGTTCTATTCGTCAACTTGCTTCTTCTGCAACAGACACCTCAACCCACTTATTATCTGAAGTCCACTTTTGCTTCACGCATTTTTATCACCGGAATTTGTTCTTGCTGATCAATCTTCCTTTGTACACATGGTCGTCATCTTGTCATATTTATGTAGTATGCTTCAAGCCTACCTTTTATTTAACCGCTCTCTTTTTCGACGTTTTTTCATCCGCTCTGGACTTTGTATGTCTGAACGTGTTTTACAGTCAATTAGGCCCAATAAGCTGACTCACCGAGCTTCCCAGCAACATTTCGGCTTAGTTGTCCAAACCACAGCTTGTGACAAGTGATTGCGGAACTACGGGTGAGGGTTATCAAGCGCGCAAGAACTAGCAACATTTCAGCGGAATAATCTGAATTCAGTATATTTCGCGTATTCTCATCAGTCAGTTACATACAATGGGTGAGGGATCCAAACGGTTGGTTACTTGCGCCAGGTTGGTCACAACCTCAAGCTGTTTGCATAGGTTGGACTTCGAACGCCGGATGGCAGAAGGCCCAGCAAAATGCAACGACTTGGGATTGTTCTGTTTGTTGATGACCTTAAATGCTTCGCAGTGGTTTTGGCACATCGAGCAATTGTGTAATTGCCGAACAACTGAACTAGCTGGCAATGTTTCACCACTGATTGCTAGATCCCCGGAATGTGCTCCGAAATCCGATCAGACAACTCCTCTCTCCCCGGCCGATGTATATGCTACCGCAAATACTGATAAACGCAAGACGGTAACATGGGAGTGAGGCTTGTCTAAATTGGATTCTAGTGACATCTTTTTGGTTTATATGCAGCAGTCGGCCTGTGGCCGGGTGGTCTGCGCGTTTGGTTTGCAACGATATGGTCACCGGTTTGAATCCGCGTAGGGGTGTGCGTCTTCGCGGTATATTTAGCCCGCGCGCGACTAATGGTGGTCGCACTGCAACGAAGCGCCGTTACGGCGTACAGCTGACACATTTGTTACATTTTCGATTCAGCAACACAACCTCTTTATGGTTCGCCGTAGGCGATGGCTGAAACGTCTATCATTTTATTCCCCTTTATAAGGCAGTGTGTTAGTACTTTCTTCCTTGAAACTTCTGCCCATTTTTCTTGCAGTACGATTTTCTTTCCATACCTGGCAATAAGCTTGTCAGGGTTCTTATTTTCACGTAGGGTGGACGCGACACCCTGGAGCTCTTGCTCAATCGTCTCTTCTGAACAAATGCAGTGGACTCATAACAGGCACTAACCAGAGACCGCTTGTAGTTCATAGAACAATACTTATTGAGGTTTAGGTATTGCCCCATCCTGCTTGATTGTGATAAATTGATCTTACTAACGAGTCACTGGATCTGCTCTCTACATCCAAGAAGTGGAATTTTTCTGATGTTTCGTTTTTCATGCCGAACTGGATCTCAGGATAACATATGTTAAACGTTTCCAATATGTGTTCCACCTGCTGAGCACCACCCACCATCACAAAACTGTCGTCAATGTATCTTGTATGGACTGTCATCATCAACAGCAGTACATCAGCCATTTGAACTGATGCTTCGCTGCATACAACCATGATGACCTAAGAAAGAGAATAATAAGAGAGGGAAGATGGACTTACCTGTAAACCTTGATGCCCTTAGCAAACTTTCAGGGTCATCTACATCTTGTCAACAACATACCATCACAGACAGCTGGCTATCGTGCAAAGACAAGGCGGCATCGACGAGATAGCTTCTTTGCGACTTTCACTACATTGCGTCATAATCAGCCATTACCCCGCAGCACCAAACACACTTTAACCAGACTATCCGACGACGAGACTACGGCAGATGCGCCACTGGTGCCGACTGCGAGCCGTGCCCTTTAAAGTCTCGAGCCAAGCACAAGGCGGGTCACGTGGACTCCAGCCTGGAAGGCGAGAAGGACCGACAACACTTAGTTTGATCGCCAATGACTTCATTTCCCGCTGCCAAGCAAACCTTTGCCCACCTCGAGCCTTTCGCCACCCTACATCTGGTAAACTAAATAAGCCCCTTCTAGATAAGCGGTGACTGGGCATACGTAGCACGTGCCCAAGCCAACGCAATTTATTCAGTGCTATCTGTTGTTCCAAGGAAACTGCCTTGTGTATCACTGCCTAGCGCTCGCATACGCACATCATCGTTTCGGACACCTTGATGTCACCAGATACCAGCAATGCTTCGCAGCCAGCGATGGTCAAAAACTTGAAGGCGCCTCAGATTTTCAGACCGAAGGGGCTAAGTTTCACTACCATAGGGCAGAACGGCCCTCACTGTGGCTTTGTAGACACAACCTTTTAGACAAAGGGAAACCCTTTTTTCACCAAAGATGTCGCAGATTCAAAAAGGCAGTTTTGGCTTTTGCAATACGTGTATTGATCTCATTAACTATGCACACATGGTTGCTGATACAGTTGTCATGGTAAGTGAATTGATCAAGTACCTCGACTTCTCGCTAGCTAGGGTCAAGGGACCCTCAAGTGACTGGTGATAATGCAGCAACACTGCACTTTGAAGGTTCAAAGCGCATACCAAATCATGGAACCATCCTACGCAGGATTGCTTGCGCTGCCCCAGCATCGTTAAAAAGAGACAATATCATCCGCATAATCAAGATCAACTAATCTTTCACCAGGCAACACGTCAGCGCTTACATCGTGAGATTCCGCAAGGGAACGCTCCATGATAAAATCCACGACGAAATTGAACAAAAATGGGAAAATCGGACAACGCTGACGAACGTCACTTATGGTCGGAAAGCTATCCGATAGGCTACCCTAGACTGACGCGGCTTGTAGTGTTCGTGTACAGCGCACGTAAAATGATCACATATTTCATGGGAACACCTTTCCGCGCAAGTATTTCGAACAGAATGGATCAATCGACTGAATCGAACACACTTTTGTAACCGAGGAACACAGCTAGTGTCGGTCTGCGGTATGCGTGGCGCTGCACTAACACCTCCCGCAGAGTGAATATGTGGTCAATACAACCTTGTCCTGGGCGGAAACCTGCCTGCTCTTCCCTAATCCTCCGGGGTTCCCGTTCCATCGTGTTGCGACGAACGAGAATTGAAGCCAGTAATTTTGTCACAACTGACGTTAGACTTACACCCCTGTGGTTAGCACAGTAGGTGCGGCTGCCCTTCTTGTGATTGATTCGCCCCAGTTAGCCGGGACGGTTTCGTCCCTCCATACATGTTCGAACAGTGAGGTCAGTGCTTTGCAGAGGACCTCACCTCCATCCTTAAATAGTGCTGATGGGAGGGAATCCGGGCCAACAGCACGAAAACGATTAAGGGCTGTGATCGCGTTTCAGACCTCAGCCTCCGACGGAGTCTCTAAGCTAACCGTTCATGGCTCACCCTGCATCACCTGAGTAGGAAGAGGTCCGGGAGCAGGGGGCCAACTGAATTGATTTTGAAAGTGTTCCGCCCAACGAGCCATCCGGCGCTCCTTATTGTGATTCAGAGTACTCACGCTGTCTCTGATTGTCTCACTGACGTCTGGTTTCCCGGGACCGGTGGTGCGGATCAGCTGATCCTGCCTCCTCCATTTCTTGTGCCAAACTGGTCCACCAGGCTTCCTTGTGTGTGCGGGCTCCGCTTTAGTTCGCGCCTAATAGTCCATCTGGTCACGTGCTCAGATCCAGCTGGGAATTTCCTTCTGGTTTCCAACAGGTTCACCGATCTCTCAGATGTCCAGTGACTGGTGCGGTGACGACTGATAGTACCACAAGCAGATACTCCTGCATTGTGTATGCCGATCGAGTTCCTTTTCCACTGAAACTCAGTGTCATTAGGACAAGACAGCGTATGTTCGATACGCAGTGCAGCATGGTAGACTTGCCTGACCGAGGGCTGAGATAACCTCTCAGTTGCTAGTCTGGTGAGACGCTTGTTGCGTCTCCCCGAAAAGTTCATGGAAACGCGACAGCTTACCAAGGTATGTATGGACGGACACAATTTAGTGTCCTGTAGATGGGCTACGAAGATGTCAGCTAAAATGGGGCTAAGTGGACTGCTCATCGCTACACTCACAATTTGCCGATAGGGATTTACATTGAAACGAAATCGAACATATTTTGTACAAATACGAAATTAGTTCTTTACTCTACGTGCTGCAAACCCCACTTTGCTTTCGTAATGGTCTCTGGTTTTCAGCATTTATTCCTAGTGACATTTTAGACAGAGAACGAACGCTCTTCGAGCTTGGTAGTTTGGTTGCAAACGCTTCACCACCATGCGAGGTGGTATCGTCAGTTCAGTTAGATGCAGCGCGTAGTCTTGCTCACCTTACATGTTGGTGAAACGTTTGCAGCCAAACTCGGAAACCAAATGAACACCTGAATCGTCAACCCGAGCTGCCAGTATTCCGAAACATTTTAGACATCATGCACTTACCATTCACATTTAGGCTTCGAATCATGTCAACTAATTCATACGTGTCTTTCAAGCTATGCACTGCCAACCCCGTCGGATGGTCTCAATTACCTTGGCTAACCATGGCACCAATTTCTGGTATCATTGAAAGGATTGGACGTAGTGGAACCTCTTCTTTATGCACTTACGGCGTAGCACACATCCGAGAAAGTCTGGAACCACAAGGCCGGAGTTGATTCATGGTACTAGCATCAATCAGTCCGTCTTTATGCCGACTGCACAGCTCGTAGGCTGTGCTCTTTCCAGCCTTTTCCGTTTTCTCACGGCCTGCTACGTATTTAGCAGATCGACTTCATTCATGCGTAGTTTGTATTTTCTGTAAATAATCCTGTTTGCTCATCACAACAATCAAAACCCTTGTCAGGCCTCAGCATCAGTACATCATCATTGCGCCGTAACTCATTCCAAGAATCAATATGATCTCGTAATTATACGGCATTT